GTGTGTGTGTGTGTGTGTGTGTGTGTGTGTGTGTGTGTGTGTGTGTGAATGTCGGTCTCCTGAACCCCATGCTTTTGGCTCCATTGGTCATCATGCTTCTAAAATTTGGTGTCAAACCGCTCATATTCCTATGTCATTTTTCATGTTTCAGATACAAAATATGTACCAAGTTTGGAACCAAAACTTGTTCAAACTGAAAAAAAGGGGAGAGAAGGCAAACCTTTTCCACAGTATAGCATCACATTATTGTCCATGATCCTTGCAGCCCTCAACTATGTTTTCTTTAATAGATGAACATATGGTCATAGGCTGCAAAAGATTGCACATCCCAAATAGATTTATGAATTTGCTATCATCAACATACTTCTAGAATATAATAAATATGTATAATATATAATGTATCATCAATATTGATTCATTTTCCTTGAAAATCTTACTTGCAATTTGTGAATTATTTTAACATTCCTTTAAATATTCCCACTAACAGTTCTGTGAATGGATGCTCTGATAAGTGCTAACGCTACCACATTTTCTTGGTCTCCACTGTATGAGTGTGGGCCTTTCACCAGTCCTGAGCCTAATTCATTCTTGGTGCAGCAGAAATCCTTACCAGTATGAAAAAAATCATGTCCCATTATTGATATTTTCCTGCCACTGTTTCAAGCATCTAACTCTCCTCCAGAGTAATTAATGATGAACCTAACAGGCTTTATGCACCTTGAAGCAGGATTTGTTTATGTCAGAATTGGAGGGAAACACTACTGTGACATATGTGTAGCTGAAGACAACTTAATGCTGTCTCACTTAAGAGCTGGGGATCAGGTAAAGGTAACATCTCAAGCAGAAAAAAATAGGCTGCAAGGACATGTTCTTGTTATGGTTGCAAATGGGAAAAGGCCCATACTCTTTGTGTTTGGGTGGGTGGGTAGATAGATGGATGGATGTTTTGAGAAGATACCTGATATTTGAAAACAAGCATTTAGCTTAGAAAAAATTGAAGCTGAACCATCCAATTTACTGATTTAAAGATAAACAATATATATTCACAATAAAAGCTTGTTTTTCTCTCCAGTACATGCTTTCTCAGGAGACAATAGGAGCTCTTAGGAAACCAACTTTTGATGTCTGGCTGTGGGAACCCAATGAGGTAATGCAGCACTTTGGAAACAAATTCCTGACCTCTCATCCTGTAAGGTTATTTTGTGGCTTTGTTCATGATTGCTTGAGGACTGGGACCTTGAACTTAGTATCATCCAGGAACTGCTCTGAAAATATACAGACAGAGTTCAGTGTCTAAAAAGACTGATTCTATATATAGAGATAGAGTGGAAAAACAAAAGAAATTTCAGCAAAGCAGTTATAATTACAGGATTTCACAAGAGTAGAAGGCAGCAATAGATCACGGACAGAGCTAATCATAGTTTAGCTCTGTCCTTGGTACAGGAAAGTAGAACTAGCTCATTCTCACAGATGGTTGTTGATCTGCCCTTTAAGGTTTTCAATGAGGCAGAATTTATCTTGGTAACAGCTGCATTTGCAAGCTGCTCTTACTATTAAGAAACCTCTCATTATGTTCAGCTGCAATCTGTCTTCCTGCAGACCCAGTCAGTCTAGGCAGGGCCTAGGGCTTCCCTTGAGGACAGCAGAGAGCAAGACTTTGTCTCTTTCGGTGAGAAAGTTCTTCAGGTCTTAAGGCACTGCTTTCTCATTCAATCTTGCTACCAATTTAGGCATGACCATTTTCTTTTAACATCTTCTCACAATATCATTCTAAAATACCTTTGCCCATCTTTTATATCAGGGATGTCAAGCTGGCGGCTCCTAGGCTGGATGCATGTGCAGGTCATGCCCACTCCAGCTCTGTGAAGGGAAAAAAATGTCATGATATGTCACATGATGGCAACGTGATGCCATGATCTTGACATATAGTTTTATAGTAAAAAAAATACCTTACAGTGTTTTATATGATAATATAACTAATAAATCACTGCATTATAAATTGAAAAGCATTAAAACAAAGCTTATTAACAAGATTAAAATTTCACTATCCAAATAAACTACAGTAGAAATAAAGGGATCAATTTAAATTTGATTTGCACCAGCCATTGATATTTCATTTGTTTGATTAAATTTTCTGTTTAATTGTTGAAGGTTCTGCTTTATTTTATGCAATTTTCTTCAAAATATACATTTATGCAAAAATTATTTTGTACCAAAAGATACAAAAAAATTCATGCTGAAGGACTGCATCATTCCAAAATGTGGACTGTTCTGTTTGCATTTTTGGCAGAGGAGGAGGGGTGGTAGTGAAAAAATTAATTGTGTCATATTTCTGCTGCAATTGCTACTGACTTAGGTGATTATATAATTTAAATTTTAAGGAAATATGTAACAGATTTCTATTTCATTGTGTGATTTAGCTAGAGTTAAATTCAAAATGCACCCTCAAAAGGAATATGCTAATATGACTCTTTAAAAAACACCTATTGAAGTTCCCTAGAAAAAGCATTTCAAAAGTAGGGTTTGCATGTCATGCTAAAGCATAATAAGGTTTATTTTTTTAGTTTAGTCTAGATGCTATTTTAGATCAGTAAAGCTTACTTTGAAACTACATTTTTGTTGGGTTAATTGTTGCAATACAGCGTTAAACAGTGATATGACAATATGGATAGATAATGTATTTATGGTTTTCTTAGTTTATGTCCGGTTTATACTCCAAACTGCCCTTTAATCAATGTATTGATAAGCAAAGTGAGTCAACAGAAAATTGAGGGAAAACAAATCAAGAACTTGTTAAAAAGTCACCTGTAAGACTTATTCTACTTGTTTCTGGCTTCTTTACTAAACTATGGTTAAGGCAGATGATGGTTTAGCATGATGCATAAATACATATGAAGTCAAGGCATCACCACAAAGTATTCTTCATGCCTTTATGATGCACCTCTCTTCCAAAAGCTGCCCAAAGGAAAGTTCCTCATCTATGATTGTAATGCACAACCAAGTTGACATGGGAGGAGATATTATGAAAGAATTTGAATCCCATATTGTTAATGCCAAAGTAATTGTATTAATGCTTAAAGGGAAGAAATGTTCAGGTTAAGAATGCTGAATTTTCAGCACTCGCCACTGAAAAATAGAAATTTATATCCTATGACAAGGTTCGGCCTGGTTTGGGCAAACAAGATGTTAAATTTACATCTGGTTTGCTGAACTGCTAGTTGAATGACCGGCTGGCCCCACCCACCCCACCCACCCCCACCCAGGAGTCTCTACACAGCCCGTTTTGAGTGCAAGTAAGTGCAGGGTCCATGGCAGAGGCTCTGGGAGGGTGAAAAATGGGCTGAAACAGAAATTCTGGACATCTGGAAACGAGCCTGTTTCCGGCTTCTGGAGGCCTTCTGGAACCCGGGGGAGGCCATTTTCACCCTCCCAGAGGCCCAAGGGAAGCCTCCGGACTCTGGGAAAGGTGAAAAATGGCCGAACCGGAAGTTCTGCAAGTCTGGAAATGGGCCTGTTTCTGGCTTCCAGGGGCCCTCCGGAACCTGGGGGAGGCTGTTTTCACCCTTCCAAGAGGCCCGAGGGAAGCCTCCAGACTATGGGAAAGGCAAAAACCAGCCCTCCCAGAAGTTCCGGTAAGCCATGGCCACCATGGCCACATCCACCCAGCAATCGGGCAGAGAACCGGTTGCTGGGATTTTTGAATCCCACCCCCACCTATGACTGTCATCTTAAGACAACATTTTCCTTGAATGTGCTTTAAACAGATTATTCAGTTTCCTGCTCTAAAAATGAAAGCTAAGTGTTATTTCCTTACAGATGATGTTCTCTTCTGGGATTGTTCTCTAAACAAACTCTAAAGTATGAGTGTCTGATCCTGGTAACTTTAAGACCTGTGGACTTCAACCTTCAGAATTCCTCAGCCATGTTGGCTAGGGAAGTTTGGTAGTTGAAGTTCACAAGTCTTGCCAAGACTCCCCTGCTCTAAAGCTTGATTTGAACTGTTTGTAGAACTGGGATTGATTCATTACACAAGAAAATGAGTTTTGTTATTTAAAAAAAAATATTTTTAAAAAAGTCCTGAGAATTGGTCCCCTGCCATAGAAGAGGGATACTGAATCATGTTGCTGATTTGAACATATGTAAACATCCTCTGTTATTTTGGGGATTTCTTCCTTATTTGTTAAAAATAAAAAAGTATTACATAAAACTCAGAACAATGTATTATATTATAATATATCATTCAGTTATCAACTGGGCTCCCATGACTTGTAAGTTCAATGAGTTTGGGGAATTAAAAAAATTAAATTCATTATTTCTTAGCTGCATTTAATAGGCTATATGCAGTTTATTTTCAATACGCAAAGAAAATACTTTTAAAATACTTTTAAATTTTTTCCTCCAGATGCTGAGTTGCTTAGAACATATGTTCCATGATTTAGGATTGGTGAAAGACTTTAACATCAACCCTATCACAATGAAGCGGTGGCTGGTAAGTTGCCCATGGGTTTTAAACAAGAATTTAAAATATTTATAACTACAGATTTATTTGTAAGTCTGCAAAAATATATTCTTAATGTAGACTCTAGTACATGAAATTAAGACAAAAGATAGCTGAATACAAAATAACCTCTGAAAAATTAAATGCCCAAAGTAGAGTGCATACTTAATTCTTGACAACCTGACAACATTGCCAGGTTGTCTATTACAAGTACATGCCACAGGCTATTTTTAAAGACCAGGAACAAACAACTTCATTCTCTATTTGTCCCCAGTCTACCACATGTGACTTCCATCTGTATTGTTCTACTCCATGTTAATGTTTTTTAGCTGTTGCTGGCTTGAGTGCTGGTGTCTGGTTAGCTTTACTTTCTTCTAAGTAGCTCCCTGCACTATGCACAGAGGTGGGGATGCTTCCTCACCTGGCTCAATGATTGCTGTCCTGCAGTTCTCAGATTCTGATGCAGTATTATAAGCAATGGTGTTCAAAGAGCATAATGATTATCACATTTGCTTAATATGCATAAGGTCACCGGTTAAAACTCAAGGGAGACATTTTTAGATTAATATTTTCCTTTTCATAAGACAGCTTAGAGACGTCAGTGGGCATTGGCACAAGATAGCAACAGTTTAAGGGTGCAGTGCTAAAATGTTCTTAGAACATAAGAACTGCCATGGTTCATCCAATACTGAACTCAATAGTATTTTGAGAACCTTTTTTAAAATGAAAAAAAATAAATTAGGTACCCAATAGAGTGTTGGGTGTTAGTTTACATGCTGCCTTTTAACTGTTTTGAATTTCATTATTAACCCTATCTCTGATTACAATATGTAGTAGCCCGTAAGTTCTTTTATTTGAGTTGCCTTCCTGTTCCATGTCCTAAATTAATTTTGTATTAATTATAAGCTCTAGTTTGATTTTTACACATGCACCCAATATACACCCAGCCCCCAAATAAGTCCTAGTTAAGTCCCCACTCACTCCATTGCACCTGGCTGCATGAGGTAGGATGAGGCGCACTGGTAAAAATAAAGCTAGGATCGAAATGTGCTTGCGTGCAATGCCCCAGCCTCCATTTCACTGTCAGAGGCTTTCAGAAAAGGCCTCTGCAGCTGAGAAACAAGCTTTGGATTGATGTGCATGGGGCCCCAGGTCTCTGTTTCACCACCAGAGGCCTTTCTGAAGGAGGCCAGGGGGTACTGCATGTGTCAATCCGGAGCTCGTTTCTTGGCTGCAGAGGCCTTTCCCAAAGGCCTCTGATTGCAAAACAGAGGTTGGGGGCACCGAGTGCAAGTGGCGGCAAGAGGCTGCAGAAGAAATGGTCCAGCAGTGGCCACACAGGCTCTTGCTGGGTGGGGCTGTCGGTGCCACCATCGTGAGATGGACAGTGGAAGACATCCCCCCAAAATAAGACCTAATGCCTGTTTTGGAAGCAAAACAATTAAACCAGGTCTTATTTTCGGGGAAGCACAATATTTCCCCAAGGTATGTGTGGATAGTATATGGTGATTATCAGAGTGTGCACAGTATGACTCGGTAAGACAACCCAGGAGCAAATATAGCACACAGGTTTGTATTTACATATAGTGGTTTTATTCCTACAAAAGCATATATACATACAAGTATTTTGATACAGGCCTTGAACAAACAGCAATCAGTAATCAACAACACCATGGAAGCACACATGGAGAGAGAGATACACCCTCACAGGGCCTCTCCTATATTACAGCCTCTTAAAGCGGTAGCAGTCAAATAACCCTGCTAACTCATTGCTACCATTGCATCATCATTACAACGTTATAGCATTACAACATTACAGCAGCTGCTCAGCTATTAAATCATCATTACCCTGACAGTAGTGCTGTATAGTGCTGTACCTCAGCCCTCAGGGAACTCCCCTCTACTAGACTCAGGTGGTGCAACTCTCATTACTGAGAAGACTCTGATCCTACAGCGTTGGACTGAGCACTTCCAATCTGTACTGAACTGCCCACCTTCCATCAACAACGAGGCGATTGATAGAATGCCCCAAGCAGATATCAATCATAGCCTGGACACAGGTGGGATTCTACCGGTTTGGGCCGGTTTGAGCGAACTGATGTTAATTTTACATCCAGTTCAGTGAACTGGTAGTTCTGAAGACCAGCTGGCCCTGCCCACCCTGCCTCTCCCCTCCCAGGAGTCCCTATGAGGCTCCCTGTCTGGCTCCCAGGTAAGTGTAGGGTAGCCTCCTGGGAGCAAAAATGGGGCACGGGGGGTCCGGTGGGGCCCCCCGCACCCCATTTTTTTCTCCCATGAAGCTCCAGGGAGGAGTTCTAGGCCAAAAATGCAGTACCCCTGCACCCCATTTTTGCTCCCAGGAGGCTCCAGGGAGGATTACTAGGCCCCATTTTGGACCTAAGAGGCCTCCCTGTAGCCTCCTGGGAGCATCCAGTATGTCTGTATTCAGTGTTTAGCCAAAAGAACATTTGGAGTTAATACAGTATTGATTACTGCCTTGGGAATGGTCTAGGTAAAGAAAACTATACAGTCTCCTAAAACTGTTGGAGCCAATCTTCTTTCTTTATTCGATATCCTCCTCTTCAAAACAAGTAAGTTGCTCTGTTTTTTCATGCCAGTGTGGTAAGTTCAGAGTGGATTTTGTAGAGAACAGCTTACCTTTAGCTCTCATTCGTTTGCTCAGTTTCAGAGCATACATTACACAATTTCCAAAGCGCAATTCAGACTATTCAGCGGTTTGCCTAGCTGCTGCTTCATTACTTCCATTGCTGTTACAACCTTTATGGAGTCCCATGGCCTTTTACATTTGACAAGCAAAAAACACAGTAAATATTTCTCACAAATATTTCCCTCTTCCACTTTGTGGTTTGATGTTTAACATACAAAATTATGTGCTGTGGCAAAATTGTGCCAAAATTCAGGAAGTTTGCAAACTTGTGTTTTTTGTTGTTAGAAGGCAACTCTTTAATTTGAAGATGGTGGTAAATTCTTGGTAATAAAATGGCAAGTAGAAAGTCTCACTTCTACTTGCCATTTAGAAAGGGTTAGAAAGAATGAGAAGATTAACATCTGCTTTGTTTCCAATCTCCGTTTCATGACTTGGTCTTCATAAAAAGTCGCTTTGGAATTGAAGCCATATATGTTAAAACAAAATTATTTCTGTTTAAGTACAAGAATGCAGAAAGTTTCAAGATTAAACCAAGGTATTTAACAGCTTTAAATATTTGGGTGTCGTACTAAGGTTTAAGTAGAAAGAGGTTCCAGCTGAAAATGTACCATGAATAGATAGAGATGCATGGTAGCTTTCTCTTTCTTTCTTTCTTTCTTTCTTTCTTTCTTTCTTTCTTTCTTTCTCTTAAAAGGAAGAAGAAAGAGGGAGGGATGGGAGAAAGAAAGAAAGGGAGGGAAGGGGGAAAGAGGGAAGGGAAAGGAAAGTGAATGAGACATGGATGGATGAAAAAAAGGATAGCATTCAGAAAGTCTAGTAATCCAAAGGATCTTGGATTGTGCAGAAATGGATAAACTCATCCTAAAGTTAAAAGGCAAGGAAGACTCAGAATATTATGCGGTATGGAAAATTCGTATGAATGGATGGACAATAGGAATAAGGAGTGTAGAGATAAGAAGATATAGAAATGTATATGAATAATTAGAAATGTATGGAATTGTGTATATGTAACAAAGATGCCTCAGTACTGTTAAAGATGATTGAAATGTGGAAAGAGAAAAAAAGTGTAATAAAAATAATAATAATGATAAAAAAGAGGGATGGATTGATGGATAGACGGAGGGAGGGAGGGAGAGAAAAAGGAGGGGAAGGAAGGACCACAAACCCTAGCACTAGACGCAGCTTCAGAGGATGCTTTGAAACAGCACAGCAATCCAGAGCTGGAAGGGACCTTGGAGGTCATCTAGTCCAACCCCCTGCTCCAAGAGCATTGTTAAAGTGAGTTTCTCTGTTTTGACCTACCCAGTCACATGACCACATAGCCATGCCCACCCAGTCATGTGACCACCTACCGTGTTTCTCACAAAATAAGGCCAGGCCTTATTTTTTTTGACACCCCAAAAAACAGCTAGGTTGTCTTTTCGGGGGTGACTTAATTCCCCCTCTTGCATCCTCGGCTGGGCGGGCGGCAACAGCTTGGATGTTGACCTCGGCGTTGTGGGGCACTTTGTATCAGGAAACCTTCCGCCACCATTGCTTTCCTTTCTCCCTGTGCACCTGCGGCATTTAGAGCAACACTGCGGCATTTGGCACAGCCATGCGCGGCCAGCCAGGGCTCCTCCCTGCAACTGGAGCCTGACGGAGACACTCGGCTTCAGGCGCTCCTGTCGCCACCTTCCCTTCGCCTTCGAAGGCAAAGCCAATTCTTTTAAAAACAATGCCCTACTACTGGTACAACAAAGACTCCCATGCCCGAGAGGGCAGCCCAACCCCACGTGGGGAGGCAAATCTCCCGGGGCCACAGTGCAGGATCGGCCCACCCCAGGAGAAGCGCCCAGCCGCCATCCCTGCCTGGCGCCAGGCAGAGCATGAAGAGCTTCGCCTGGGGTGCCCAGCGCAGCTGACAGGCAGGCCCTCCTGCCCGGTGGCAGAGCTCTCACCAAGGCAGCGAGCGCCTCTCTGCCGGACCCTCCGTTCATCCCTCCAGAGCCATGAAGGCTGGGCAGAGCTGGGAAAGTGAGCCACAGGTGCACGCCCACCTGCCAAGCAAAAGAACCAGGCCGACCTGAGCTTGGCTTCCTTCCCAACTCCCTCCAGCCCGAACCTGAAGGGGCCACCGGGAGAGGCCGCCCGAGGCAGTGATAGCGCCCACCAATCCATGGACAGGGAGGCAAGGCGATGGCCTGCGCCGCATCCTCCTCCGAGCTGAGCCCCGCCAAGTGAGTGCCTCTGCCCGATGCCCATGCTGCTGCAGTGTTTGGAGCTGCCGGTGCATTTGGAGATGCGTGGGGATGGGGACCAGCTGGGCGAGGGGTGGAAAGGATGGGTGGCTTCGGGCTCTCTCTGCCAGACCCGCCGGCCAGGGAAGCAGCACTGCTGTCACCTCGCCTCCCTGTCCGCGGATGGGTGGGTGCTATCATTGCTTCGGGCAGCCTCTCCCAGTGGCCCCTTCGGGTTCAGGCTTTGAGGGACTTGGGAAGGAAGCCAAGCTCAGGTAGGCCCAGTTCTTTTGGTTGGCCACAGGTGCGCACCCGTGGCTCGCTTTCCCAGATCTGCCCAGCGCGCACGGCTCTGGCGGGATAAGCGGAGGGTACAGTGGGGAGGCATTCACTGCCTTGGCAAGAGCTCCACCGCCGGGCAGGAGGGCCCACATGTCAGCTGTGCTGGGCGCCTCAGGTGAAGTTCTTTGTGCTCTGCCTGGCGCCAGGCAGGGATGGTGGCTGGGCGCTTCTCCTGGGGTGGGCCAATCCTGTGCTGTGGCCCTGGGAGATTCGCCTCCCCATGTGGGGTTGTGCTGCCCTCTCGGTCAGGGGAGTCTTTGTCGTACCAGTAGTAGGATATCATTTTTAAAAGAATTGGCTTTGCTTTCAAAGGCAAAGGAAAGGCAGCGACAGGAGCGCCTGAAGCCAAGTGTCTCCACCGGGCTCCAGTTGCAGGGAGGAGCCCTGGCTGGCCCCGCATGGCTGCGTCAAACGCTGGCAGCACGGGGAGAAGGGAAAGCAACAGAGGAAGGTCTCCCGATACGAAGTGCCCCACCAACGCTGAGGTCAACGCAGGTAGCACCATATCTGGATATGCAACAAAAGTACTTCCTAACGGCCAACCCCCCCACCATTCCCCCCCATTTTGCATGTTTAATATAGACCTTAATTTTGGGGGAGGGGCTTAATTTGATTTTATGCCTATAAAGCATGCTGGGACTTCCTATTGGGGGAGGCCGTATTGTTGGAGAAACACGGTAGCTATGCTCATCCAGTCACATGACCACCAAGCCAGAACTGGTTGTTAAAAAAATTGAATCCCACCCCTGCCTGGACACCCCACCATCAAAGACTGAAACCCTACAGGCCATCACCCAGCTGTCCAGTGGCAAGGCCCAGGATCTAACACGATCCCAGCGGAAGTCTATAAGGATGGCAGTGCAGTGCTTGTGGACAAACTCACTCTGCTGTTTCAGTCCTTCTGGAATCAAGGATCCATTCCTCAGGAACTGAATGATGCGTCCATTATACACTTCTACAAGAGGGAAGAGAATTGACAAGCCTGCAATAATCATAGGGGAATATCACTGCTTTCCATCACAGGCAAGATCCTTGCACGAGTGTTGCTGAACTGCCTGACTGATTACCTGGAACAGAGTCTATTACCCGAGATATAGTGCAGTTTCCACAAAGAGTGTGGCACTGTGGACATGATATTTGCAGCCTGATAGCTCCAAGAGAAGTGTCAAGAGCAGAATCGTGAATTGTACACTACCTTTTGTCTTCTGACACTTTTGACACTGTCAGTCGCAAAGGTCTGTGGCATATCATGTTGAAGTTTGGGTGCCTGGACAGATTCATCCCAATTATACATCAGCTCCATGATGGCATGAGAGCTCATGTTTTGGAGGACGGAGAAGCTTCAGAGGCCTTTCCCATTACAAACAGTGTCAAACAAGATTGCAGGTTGGCACCAACTTTGTTCAGCATAATGTTTTCAGCCATGCTGTCAGACGCCTTTCAGAACAGTTCCTTGGGAGTTAGCCTGAGGTACAGGACCAATGGGAAACTGTTCAACTTCCGAAGACTCCAGGCTATCACCAAGATAAAGGAGACTGTGATACGAGACTTCCTTTTTGCTGATGACTGTGCCCTGAATGCTGGATCCGAGCAGGAAATGCAAGCCAGTGTGGATGAATTCGCAGCAGCATGCAACAACTTCGGTCTCTTCCCCAACACAAAGAAGACCAAAGTGATGCATCCCCCAGCTCCGAAAGCCCAACACTAAAAGCCCACCATCACAGTGAAGGGACAAAAGCTGCAAGCAGTGGACCAATTTGTGTACCTTGGCAGCACCCTCTCTCACGGAATGACAATTGACATCAAGGTCAACTGCAGAATCGCCAAGGCAGGCTCTGCATATGGCAGACTTCTGACCAACGTGTGAGACTGCCATGGAATAAGCCTTGCTACAAAGCTCAAAGTCTACCAACCAGTAGTGCTAACTACCATGATGTATGCCAGTGAGACTTGGACTGTATACAGGAGGCAGGCTAGGCAATTGAACCACTTCTACACGACCTGCCTCCGCAGACTTCTGAGGATCTGGTGACAGGACAAGGTGCCAGACACAGAAGTCCTCTCCAGAGCTGGCCTGCCATCAGTTCACACCCTGCTGATGAAAGTCCAGATGCTCTGGTCATGCCATGTTGCAATGATGCCAGTCCATCACATCCCTAAACAGCACCTCTATGGTGAGCTGCCTCAAGGAAAGTGATTGCAAGGGGAACAAAGGAAGTGATACAAAGACATGTTGAAAGCCTCCTTTAAATCCCTGAGCATCGACACCACCTCCTGGGAAATGCTGGTACAAGATCAATCCACTAAGGCTGCTAAACATTTGAAGACAGATAAACAACCACAGCACAAGAGAAGCGAGCACTCCACTAAGCCACAGTTGCAAATGCTACAACAATGGTGCCCACACAGGTGGCAGAACATGTTGTGCCCATATAGGCCTTACCAGCCATTTGCAGAGACACCGTGGACAGCCCACAATGTCAAGGTGCTCTTCGAACACGATGGATGAACATCATCATATGGTGGTGCTGGTCAGAGTGAATGTTCAGTTGAAAAAAGCAAAAATGGTTATCTATAAGACTGTGCTTTTGGCTTTGTTTCATAGCAGTGAGAGTTAGATATAGCAGAGAAATATAGAAGTTAACATGGCATGGGTTATTTAAGAAATGTGTGTAATAAAAGAAGAGATAGGACTAAAATGGATGAATGCGGATTAAATACAAAAGTAAAATACAAACCAAATATAACAATACAATACCAAAAAAGGGGTAGAGGGCAGGAATACAGGTTGAAGACATAGGAAAGACATAGGTGTGGTGTAGCAAATTATACTGGTATAAATTTTTGTCTGTTTTATTTTCAGCTCTTAATGGTATTCTGGTATTCTATTTCTTACTCCTTTTCTATACTATATAACGTTACTTAATCCAAAAGGGAATGGTAGAATGGGATTATATACACACTGTATATCCAGGACAATTTTGGTGACTCCAATGGTTATTATAATCATATTTTCAGTACTTGGTGATTGACCTTTTTCAGGATAATTCTGCATGTCAGCCCCTCCCAGAAATGGGAGGTTTATATTTTCCCCTTTCCACACCACTGCATTTACTTTACAAACTATAGAGATACATGCCAATATTTCCAGTATTTCTATCTGGCCAATTCTATGGCCTTGTTAAGCAGTTCTCTGACTTATACCAGAGATCAGCCGACTGTTATTCAGTAGAAATGCAATATGACCCAAATAATGAGTGGAAACAAGCCTGTATGTAGTAGTAATGCAAACAAAATATATTACTTTCTGTTTTATCTTTTTTTTAAGTACAAAGATAGATTAGTTATAAAATTGTAATATTCTAGAATCTAAAAGGAGGAAATAATGGCACCAAAGAGTTGGTTATTGGGATTTAGTGTCACATTCTTGTTTTCTTTCATCAGTTTTTCCTCTTTATTTTTATAGATGTGTATTCATGACAATTACAGAAACAATCCATTCCATAATTTTCGACACTGCTTCTGTGTTACCCAGATGATGTACAGCATGATCTCACTCTGCAATCTCCAGGTGTGTCTTTCTCTGGCTACTTTTATTCTTTCTTCAGTTTTTCTATCAGAAGAAAAACAGACTTCATAAAACATCATTAAATCCATTAAAATACTTTCCCCCCGCTACAACAGTATTTTGTTAACCTAATATTGAAAGACCTACTACAGAGTATCTTTTTACACATCTCTGGGATTTTGCTGAGAATAACTGATCCCAAGGTCACTTCAGTGTGTCACTTTTTTAACATTTAAGTGAAGAATTGAAAGGTCTAGTGAAAAGGGGATGGTTAATAACCCTGGCAGTTTCTTACTCTGCAGGAGACATAGGAAACTGCCTTATATTGCATCAGATCATTGGTCCTTCTAGGCCAATATTGTCAACACTGGTTGGCAACAGGAGTTCAAACAGGAGGCCTGTCTGAAGACTGGAGGTGCCAGGAATTCACTTTCAGATCTCCAGCCTGCAAAGCATGTTCCTTACTTCTGAGCCACAGCATTCTGATGTATAAATCAGTAATGGCTGAAGAAGAACCACAGGTTCGCACATTGCTGTTGCCCCCTATGAAATATAAACCAATTTAGATGAAACCTTGTCCTATTTTTTACATTAAAAAAAAACCAGCATGAAATTCAAACTTAAGAGAAGCTAAGCCTCTTAATACAAGTTTCTAATGACCTTCTCCCCCCACCCTTTAAAAATAAACATACTATAGCTTTAATGTGTCTTTGACTTATAGCAGAGAAAACCAAAGTATCTTGGCTTCTTCTTTCACCTAAATTCAGGGTGGCCAAAACTGCTTGAACTACTTGCACCATTCTCTTGCACCATTTCTAACACAGTACCCTCCAGATGGGTTAGGCTACAACATCCTGAATTCCTAATTTACCAACATATGTCTCAAAACTGTCAGGCTCAGAGTCCAACACTTCTGGTTTAACATTTTTATTGAGTGGTAAAATATTGTAAAATACAAAATACAAAAGTAAATATAAAAGTGGGGAAGGTTTGGAGGGGAAGAAAAGTGAGGAAAGATAAGAGAAGAAAAAGAAGCTTGACTTCCAACTCTCTCTGTTGCACTAAAATCAGGCATTTATACTAAATCACAGCTTTTTGCTTTTCATAATAATATGAACAAGCCATTTCTGTAAAGATCTATCAATCTACTTGGTAAAACCCAAAATCAAAGTTTCATTATTTTCCACTTCAAGCACTAAGTTCAGAAGTGGTCTCTAAGTGGAAACAAATATACTTATGTTCTTTTCTTTAATCAAAGTAGTCAATTTTGCCATTTCAGCCAACTCCATCAACTTCTGCAACCATTCGTCCATAGTAGGAATTGAAGTGTCCTTCCATTTTTGTGCAAACAATAGTCTTGCTGCTGTCAACATATATAATAACAAAGTTCCGATTTTTTTCTCGAGTTCTTTCTCCATTAGGCCCAAAAGGAAAAATTCTGGTTTCATTTTTATCTCCATTTTTAAGATTTTCTCTATTAAAATATGAATCATACTCCAAAAATTTTTCCTTTATCACAAGTCCATCATTGATGATAGAAAGTCCCTTCTTTACTTCTTTCTTTACTTCCAACATTTATTTAACATTCCTTTTTACAGCCATTTCCCGTTGGGAGGGGGACTTGCAGAAGCCAAGCAAGGGGAAGCGGAAGGCAGGCAGCAATGGCTGGTCTGGCGGGCGGGCAAAAGCAGGCTGCAGGCAGCAATGTTGCACATGTGCAATAAGGACTGACTGGGCAGGGAGGGAAGGGGAGGGCAGGGCCAGCCAGTGGTGCGATTTGCCGGTTCTCTGAACTGCGCAGAATCATAACAACCAGTTCTACCGAACCCGTCCGAACCAGTAGAATCCCACCCCTGGGCACAATGGTTAGAATGCAGTACTGCAGGCTACTTCTGCCAGCTGCCTGCAATTTGGCAGTTCAAATCTCACCAGGCTCAAGGTTGACTCAGACTTCCATCCTTCCATGGTTGATAAAATGAGAACCCAGATAGTTGGGGGAAATACACTGACTCTGTAAATCCCTTAAAGGGGGCTGAAAAGCACTGTGAAGTGGTATATAAGTTTAAGTTTATCATTGCACTTAGATATATTTAATTAGTAACACAATTGTTAAATGAATCGGGCTTCTTCATTGACTTTACTTATCAGAAATTCGCAAAAGGTGATCACATGATCCCTGGACACTGCAACAGTCATAAATATGAGCTACTTGCCAAGCATCTAAATCAGTGGTGCGCTTCAAATTTAGAGGATAAAAGTGAGTATGGGAGCCCGCCCAGGTGGGCGGGTGGGCCCAACAGCAGAGCAGCGGAGAGAATTGGTTTGGTCTCCACTGCTCATCGCTACTACCGGCTCTGCAAAACCGGGCTGAACCAGTAGAATACCACCACTGAGTGTGAAAAATAGTCCTAAGTCACTTTTTTCCATGCTGTTGTCACTTCGAACAGTCACTATATAAGCTGTTGTAAGTTGAGGACTATTAAATGTAAGTTGAGGACTATTAAATGTTACCCCAAATATGTAGAATTCACATTTTCATACAGAAGTTAATTGTGTCCATTATATTTGTGGGCATAGATTTGCAACTTGAGTGGCCAATACAAGAACAATTGTGTTATCAGATGAGACTTTTGTCACACAGGTGCTGTGTTTTATTCATTGAATTTAATTAATTTAATCCAAATGTTCTTTTTTCCCAGTTGCAACACTTCCATATTTTCCCATGACTTTTTTCTCGCAGATCCAACATTTCCTCTCCATCCTGTTGTTAATTATACATCACTGCCAGACTTAGATGATTAGCTAGACTGTTGTGCTAGAAAAAAACTTGCTACAGTAAATGTAGCCACTAAGTGTTGACTTAACTTTGTTTTATGTTATTTCCCTGATACTTAAGTGTGCTTCTGATGTTGTAAAAGCTACATTATGCAAATAATGTACAAAGAAATTATACAACTGTATTTTCTCCCTTTTCTCTTTTAGGCAAAGATTTCCCAAATAGATATCTTAATGCTAATGACAGCATCAGTGTGTCATGATCTGGATCACCCAGGATATAATAACACGTATGTATTCTTTTGGAAGAGAGTTAAAGGAGTATAGCATCTGCTTAGGGAAATGGAATACAATTGAAAGTTTAGCATGTTAAACATGGATCTATGACAATTCATTGCATCTAACTCACCACAGCCAATTTGTCACAGTCGACTTGCTGTGACCAAGTCACCACAGGATGACTTACCGTGGCCAACTCATCGTGGGACCACGCACTGCAGGACAAGAGTTACACAAATATCAAAGAAATGGTGGAATGGAATCATTAAAGAAAAGATGAAAAAGGAGGGACAGAATGAAATGTGAATGACAAAATTTAAAATATTTTTAAATTTATTTTAAATAATTAAATTGAATTGTTAAATTGTCCTGCAGCAAGTTATCCTATGGTAAGTTGGCCATGATGAGTTGTCCCACATCGAGTTGGCCAGGGTGAGTTGGTTGTAGCAAGTTGGCTGCGGCGAATTGGCTGTGCAATCTTATGCAACATATTTTTGCAGGAATTCCACCATAAGATCTTCCACCCAATTCCTGAGGATGCTGGCCCAAGACATTAGTGTTCTGACTTGGCCTTCACAGAAGCAAGAAACAGATCCCTCGCAAAGAAAAACCCCTCTTTATTTACATCTTGGGAATTTATTTTCTTTTCTTTTTGATTTGATTTGATTTGTCAATCGCTTACAAATTATAGGTATAAGTATAAACATGAATAAGAATACCGGAAATAGGTACGAATAAATGGGGACAACAGGACAGGATGGTAGGCATGATTGTGCACTTATGCATGCCCTTAATTAATTAATTGCATTTACCAACAGAAAGTCCAGGCAAGAGTTCTGCAAGGAGTTAACTGAAGCAATAGTCCTTATCAGCTCATTATGATAAATGCAAGGCTGTGAACTCCCAGTCAGAAAGCTGCAAATTAAGTCAGAGAAATAGACAAACTCAGTTCTGGCAAGGCAGTCTTCACTGCATGAAACACACCAGGAGTAAACTTTGTAGAAATGCGAGCAGTTGTCTGCTACAACCAAACCACTCCCTTTTCCTCCTATTTATACCCAGCCAGGGAGGGGCCATTTAGCATCCACATTTGTTTTGCTTCTCGAGCCAACTCATTGTCCTCTCCTATTTGCTCTGCATATATGCACATCTAGAACAGGCCCCAGCTATTCCTCTTCCTCACTCATCTCTGACTCCAAAGCTGCCTCTCAGGCTGGGAAATGCCAGACAGCCTTGACTCTATCTCTGTGTCTGATGCTGAGCATATACAGAGCCTTCCCCAGGCTCCAGAACTGGCCCAAGTTTTTCCTCAACCTCCAGGTCTGCTGCCAGCAGAGCTGGCAGGCCACAACAAATAGTGGAATAGAAAATGCACTGCCTAAATTGAAATGAATAATACTAAAGGTTGTACGTATTATTTTGGCATCAGGGTAAAGAAAAAAAATTAAAATAAAAAATCCTTTCACCTTGCTTTACAAAAATATACACTAAAGTGTGCTCTTTCATTATCTTCCTGTAGTACATGGTGCCTATGAAACTTACGCCATTCAGCTGGTAAATATATACAGGATATTAATTTCAGGCTATTTACATTAAGGTAAAGTAAAGGTTCCCCTTGCGCATACGTGCTACTTGTTTCTGGCGGGCAGTGCTGATCTCCATTACAAAGCCAAAGAGCCAGTGCTGTCCAAAGATGTCTCCTTGGTCATGTGGCCAGCATGACTAAACACTGAAGATGCACAGAATGCTGTTACCTTCCCACCAAAGTGGTCCCTATTTTTCTATTTGCATTTTTACATGCTTTCGAACTGCTAGGTTGGCAGAAACTGGGACAAATAACAGGAGCTCACTACATTACGCGGCGCTAGGGATTCAAACTGCTGAACTGCCGACCTTTCTGATCGACAAGCTCAGTGTCTTAACCACTGAGCCACCCCATCCCTACATTACATTAGCAGGATATAGTAATCTGCTGAAGTGTAAGAATTAAGCAAATTAGAGTAGCCACTAATATATCTTTTGAAAGAGGAAGTTAATCAAACCTCAGATGGGAGCACATGGCAAAATCAGGATTTTTTTTTATAATATGCATACATTTTATTAAATCTGGGAAAAATAAATGTGATTTACTTTGGCCCTTGGCTTCAAATATGTTTTTAAAGCTATCTGGTAATGTATTTGTAGAAGTATGTGTCACTCTATATGTACAAGTAAAAAATGTATTTTAAGAAACAATCTTGAAGGAAGGAAGTAATATCTTATAATTGATTTGCGTTACTAAAGCATCCAGAACAGACAACGCATGATGACTGTATCTTTGGGCATGTATCTTTACAGAATTATAAAGATTAATAACAAAAATGTTAATGCATACACTTTTGTAAATAAATGGCATTGAAATGGCTGATTGGATTGTAAAAAAAAACCATGAACGAGCATTGCAAAAATGAAATCAAACACTGTAGCTTCCAAATTAGCTATATATTTAATGGGTAAGGGTATTGAAAGTGTACTGTAAAGATTTTGCCTCCCAACTGCAACAGCAGCAGAATTAAATTGCGAGAAGTGAAAAAATGGCATTTGGACAAAAGGCAACAACCTGAGCTTAAAAGGAAATTGTATCAGAAGGTGAATATTAGTGAATGGCGAGTACCACATTTCTACTTCCATGTGATTCCATGAATCTTTCTGAGAAACATTGATTCCTAGGACATATCTTGGCACTATATATGATTTATTGGCTTATGGTTATGTCCTGTATCTCTTTTTTTTCCTTGAAAAAGATTGTAGGATTTTTTTAAATAAATAAATAAATCTTACTTCAAGACAGATCTGAAACAGATGTAACACTAAAGCCCATTATAACTGACTGCCCACTGAATCTTTGTTTCTCTTCTCATATTGGTCCTTTCCTCTGGGTATATTGTTTTAAAAGCTATCAAAAACTCAAAGGTAGAAAACTAAAAGCTTAAAATAAAGAATATGTATTGGAATAAATAGTTACATAAATAAATGCTATAGTTCAAGATCTAAGGCAAAGCAAATTCCCAACATAAAAGAATAAAAGTATATACCTGCATGCACAGGCACTCCGATACACATAGGTAAAACTTGGTTATTTTTGCTGCAGATTTACCTTCGCCGGATTTAGTTTAATCAGCAGTTTCCTATTTGCAGTCATAACTGCTGTAGCAGTACAGTATGCAAAACTGCACTTCAAACATTTGTCTACCTCTTTGTTAGATCCTATTTCTAACTCTGTGATTCGAATTCAAACCTGATATGTACAGAAAAACAGTTAAGACTATATGGCTTTCCTGCTTCCCTTCTTTCGCTGCATCCATCAATATTACCTCCAAAGTTTTTCTTAAGAGCAGTCACAAAAACCAAGGGTGCTGTGGTGATCTGGAATGGAGAGCAGAAGAGAGGAAATCCATGAAAGCATATGCCGCATGAGATGTATTAAGTTTTAAGATGGTTTTTTCCCCCTATCTTATTTTCACATTCTGTTTTCTACATTTCACCTGGAATTTATTATTTTCCTAGTTCTTTATTTTTGATTTCATTGTAGAAATAAACTAATTTAGCACATTTTTGTTTATGCCTTTGGTTTATTTCAGGTACCAGATCAATGCACGAACTGAGCTAGCTGTGCGCTACAATGATATTTCCCCGCTAGAGAATCATCACTGTGCAGTGGCTTTCCAGATCCTTGCACAGCCAGAATGCAACATTTTATCCAATCTTGATAAGGAACAGTTCAAACGGATCAGACAGGTATGGGTTCAAAGGTAGAGGTTCACAGAGAATTGCAACTGAACTCAGCTGGCTTGTCTCAGGATTAAGAAGACTATGCCCTTCAAAGTTATATTTAACTATAATGCTCTAAACTTCTATTGGCCAGGCTTGATATCTGTGATGATATGAGAGCTGAAGAAGCTTCTTGGATGAGAAATGAAATGTCTTCAAAGCAAAACAAGAAAGTCCAATTGCCTCTTGAAAAAGCACCTTTGGGATGGCCATGCATGTTAGAAATACAAGTATATGGATGGCCAGAGATTCCCCAAATGTTATTTCCATGGGTTGAAAATTTGAGAGTTTAACATCTGAGCCTATTTTACTGAAATGTCTCACATGCTCTCTGAAACATATGAAACAGAAAGAGGTCTAGATTTCTGAGCATGCTAAGAGTATGCTAAAAAGTTTTAAGTGTCTAGAGCTAGAAGATAAAACCTAGCAAGAAAGCCAGTTTGGTTTAATGGTTAAGATATCTAGAAAGTGGTAGACCATGAGTTCTAGACCTGTCTTAGCATGAAAGCCAGCTGGGTGCTTTTGGGCCAGTCATTCTATCTCAGCTCAAACTACCATCACCACCCAGTCACCCCAGGGTTGTTATAGGAAAAATAGGAGAGGTTAGTGAAGGTTCATTCTCCAAGCTTGTGGATTGGTTTGGAGAATGAACCTTCACCCTCATCCTATACTGAGCTATAGATATTTGCCACTATTGCAAAGGAAAATAGTGCGATGAACATGTTCGCCACCCTGAGTTACTGGTAAAAATAATAATCAGGGGATGGTACAGATCCTGGTGATTAAGAGCAGGTGGAATAAAATAAAATAAAATAATATTCTCCTAGGAAACCTTGATAGCCAGCATCTCTCATCTGAGAAATTCAATAGAAGCATCATCAGCAGTCAAACCTAATGAAATAAGTACCTCATAGACAAGCTGGTGCCTTTAAATTAGATTAGATACAATACACATCGTTGTTAGTTATCATAATAGGAATAATTCTTAGTAGTAATTTAACACAACTAGGAAATGATGCCAGTTTGGTGAAGGATATTGCAGATATATTTGGAAAAATATTATAGTTTTTATGTTATAACGTGTTAATATATTTATCTGGTTTTATTGCAAGTTTTGTTTTTTTTTTGTAAAAGTGCTAAAGAAATGCTAAAGAGAAGATGTATAACATAGCACAGTATAACATAACACACATTAGTAAAAAAAAAATCACATTATGCTTTAAACCACAAAACAATGTAAAAAAACATGTTATGCTATACAGATCCTTGATATTTTGTTAAAGCAGGTCTCAGTTCATGCAAGAGCACCCAAGTCAGATCAACCCTCCTGCCATGTAGAAAAGGAGGAAAAATACACCTACATGTTTCCCCTTGTGTGGCTAATAGAAGTTTCAAGATATTTGTACTTAACATCATGATTATACATCTGATCCAAATTTGCCTTCCATAGCTTATAAAAAAAGATAAATAGCTCATTTAGATAAAAATAATGTGCTCATAGCTCATTAAAAAAACTCCTAGCATAGAGTTTCAGCAAACTTCTGTTCTATGTTTTTCCTCAAAATTGCTTCCTTCTTCAGAATATGTCATGTCCAAAAAATGGGAAAATTGAACAAAGGGTGATAATTATGGAAAGTTAGAATAGGTCTACTTCAAGAAGCATAAACTGTTTCTTCTTTTTTCTTAAACAATATAGGGGATAATTACATTAATCCTAGCAACAGACATGGCACGGCATGCTGAAATACTGGATTCTTTCAAAGAAACCGTAGATGAGTTTGCCTATTCAAATGAGGAACATGTAACTCAGGTAAGATGCTTTTCTTTATTTATTTACATTTAGCTTTTATTTAGATGGAAAGGATTCTACAACTTGACTTAAAGATCAATAAAAAGAGACAATCTTGCTTTCAGGATTGGGCAACCTGACAATCTTTTTGCATTCCTGGAACCTCCATGCATCCAAAAACCCCAGCCTTGTGGTTTTTTTATCATCTAAAGATGGAAAAATGCATTAAAAAATGCTAGTAAGCCTTAAAACTGAGCTTTTCCATGAATTATTTATAGCATCCATGGAATAGCTTGGCAACCACAGTTCCCATGAAGGTGACCTTGTCTCATTCTGGGCCAGGAATAGTAATATAACTATTTCAGAGCAATCCTACCTATGTGTAGGGAATCTGTGACCCTTCAGATGATTCTGAACCACAGCTTCCCACAGCCCAACATTGGCTATGCTTATTTAAACTTCTGGGAGTTATAGTAGTGAAACCTCTGGTAGACCATAGAGTTTCCATTTATTGTCCATGTTCAAATGCTGAACTTCATATCACCATTTTGTTGAACATCAGTTTTTATCATTTTAACTTTCCACAGTGAACAAGAAAGCAGATTAGTTGAGGACAGGCTGCCTTGGCTTGGTGGATATGTAAAAATGTGCTTTTACTCTCTACAATTAAATGGAGGTGCAGTCAACCAGAACAAAATCTGATTTGGGGGGCTCTCCTGTTATACAGGGATCATTAGAGAGAGCCCATTGTTTCAAAGAAATCTTATTGGATCTACTATAATTTCATTGCTGACTTTCCACAACAAAGTGGAAGAAATACTGGCAGATAAAATAAAGATCTCACATTGTAAACTGTTTTGCGGTTTTCAGTTGAAGATGATATTGATCAAGTGCTGCGATATCTCCAATGAAGTTCGCCCAATGGAAATAGCAGAACCATGGGTGGATTGCTTATTGGAAGAATATTTTATGCAGGTAAAAAGATACACGGTTATCACCATAATGATTTATATTTTTAAATTCCACCTGAAGTCTATTCAGTAACAATGCTGCCATGCTAGAATCACAGGACTGGTTCTGTTATAAAGCATAATGAGAGTGGGAGTAGATACCAGGAAAGTGGAATAGCGGCAAGGGCAATCCCCACATAATCTCCCTTTCACATAAGGATCTGCAAGCTCAATTTATCTTTCCCATTATACCAAAATTTAGCTAGCTTCCTTCTACGGGAGACAATAGATGTTATGATCTGGTTATTGTTACACTAAGATTCAGCAGCCAAGCCGGTTGCCTTCTGCACCTGGATGATGGAGTGGGAAGTTTGGGACACCATTTTGTGTCCATTTAGTTTTTACTAGAAAAATATGTTGGACTGACTCTGTGGGTACACTATATTGAAAAAATACTCTCAGTAAGATTTCGGTCTAGCTGCACATTGCTGCAGTTTGCAAACTAGAAAGATGATAATAGTCAGACAGTGTAAATATTAATGGAAAGCTGCTTGCTCTCTCTTGACAATTGTTTCTGCCAGTCAGCTCAGCATATAAAAAAATTGAAACTCAAGCAGGTCAGACTTGAGGCAATAGAAAGCACAGCTAACGAAGCCTAGGTGGGTCAAGTGGTAGGTGCTGAATTACATAACTAAGCCTGTAATCAGTGAAATAATGCTAAGAGAAAGAAAGGAGAGGAAAGTCTGGTAGTTTTTAATAGAATAGTCAAGTTAGTTCTGAAAGATCACTTTACTAGCCCTCTTTTGGAGGCCAATAACCTTGTTTCAGATTAATTGATTTTATACATTTATATTACAGTATGTATAAATGTTTGTGTGTTTGTAGACAGACATTTATACATACTGTAATATAAATGTATAAAACCAGAAAAGAATAGCAGCTCAGGAGAGATTATATCTTCTTTCAATTAATCTGCATCACCTGTATATTTATTCACAGTACTTTTGATGTGGACTTAATTCCTACCTTTTATTTTGAAGGGGAAAAAAACTGATGCAGGGACTGATTTAGTATCTGTCTGTCATTTAGAAGTAGGAAGACATCAGTCTCCTATTTAAAAAAAAAAATCCAGACCCACATGAGTAAGAGTCAGAGATGATTCCAGTGGGAAAATGATGCATCCGTAGGAAAGGGTTAGGTCACTCTTCTCTACATTATACTGCTCCATCCGGATGTGAGAGGTGGACATTTCAAAGATATTTATGACACAGTGATCAGTTGGGACTCTTGTTCTGAAACTATTTATAATTCGTCTCTGGTTGAGCAGCGATTAGGAAATCCTGCCTGGGCTAAAAGGCAGGTTACATAAATTGCATTAGATATATAACTAAAATGTATAAATGATATGGATTGTATATTAACATTCCTATGATACATTGCTATATTTGTTGTAGAGTGACCGGGAAAAGTCTGAAGGCCTTCCAGTGGCACCTTTTATGGACCGAGACAAAGTAACCAAACCATCAGCACAGATTGGCTTCCTCAAATTTGTTCTTATTCCAATGTTTGAAACTGTAGCAAGGGTAAGGGACTTGGAATATATAATGAAACTCCATTTGACCAACTAAAATGGTGCCCTCATTTAAAAGGACAACTTATATATATTTTTTAATTAATATTTTTTTCTCAGGCTTTTATAAAATATAGGTGTCCATTTCCCAGGGTCCTACTCCCAATCCTTCTCTATCGTAAACAATATAATGTTAGAATATTTTTTAAAATCAATAATAACACTGTTCACTTTTCTTTCTCCATTATGTTAGCTTTTTCCAGAAGTTGAAGAAGTGATGCTCCAGCCACTTTGGGAATCCAGAGATCGCTATGAGGAGCTGAAACAAATAGATGATGCTATGAAAGAAATCAGGACAGCACCTTCTCAGGTATTGCTTTATCTTATTTGTATTCCACTTCTTTTCTAACCAGTCCGCCTGCACATAAAACATTTTCTTGAAAAAATTTCTGAAGTGTTTCTCTGACTCATTCTTCAAAAAAGTAGGTCACTTTGCTTTTCCAAACATTATTCAACCAGTGTATGTATGCATGCATGTATGTATGTATTTATTTATTGTGTGTGTGTATGTATATAATGAAATCTTATTAGATCTTGCCATGCCTATCTCATGAGTTTCTGATGAGCTTTGACCATTATTTAATTAGACATCTGGTTCTTAATGCAAGATCACATGAAGCTGAGTTATTATCTGTCGGCCAATTAATAATTTCAATGTATTTGGTAGCTCACCTAATGACCAGGGGTGGGATTCTACCAGTTCGCACCTATTCTCTAGAACCGGTTGTTAACTTTCTAAGCAGTTCAGAGAACCGGTTGTTAGAAGAAATTACTGGCCTAATCCTGTAAGGAAGGCAGGAAGGAAACATTCTGGTGTTGCTTACAGAAACTGCCTCTCCTTTAACCCTTATTACGTTCTTGGCAGGACAAGACTTCCTGTCTCAGGAACTTCTCTGGAGTTTTTTTCCCCTCCTTTGCTGGTACTTTGCTTGTGTGGAGTGACCATTCAAAGTTACAATGGCACTGAAAAAAGTGACTTATGACCGTTTTTCACACTTACGACTGTTGCAGCATCTCCACAGTCATGAGAGGCTGGGCAAAGAGATGGGTGCCTCAATGCGAGTGATGTTGAGTTGGCCACACCCAGCAGTCACATGACCAGCAAGCCATGCCCACCAACTAAGCCACACCCACAGAACCGGTTGTTAAAAATTTGAATCCCACCCCTGCTAATGACAATTACATAAATTCAGAGTTCAGCAGTCAGTATATCTCCCTTGAGTCAAGCTCACATCTAGCTGACTGAATGGGCATGTCCATTCTGTATTCTTGCCATTGCTCTCCTGTTTTTTTGATTTCCCAGTCTACTTTGCAGTCTTGGCCTTTATATTCAAATTTATTCCATTCCTAAAATTCACATTTCTTCTTGGCTTTGAAGCAAAATTCTATTTTAAAAAACCTTATTATCTACATTCTGTTTGCTAAGGACATGAATGATATCAACTGTGCAACATGTATGATTTATTTTTGTTTCTATGTGCTGATCTGTGTGGGACACAGTGGCTAATATCTAGAAGGTCTATTGTTTGTCCACTCTGGAGGTTAGTTTAAATGACAGCTACAGTTCCCAAGAATCAAATTTTATGTTGTGCAACAGAAAGCTGAGCAGGCTCCAGGCTTCCTCCCAATAGTTGATTTTAACTGGCTGCTCCTTCAAACTGAGTAATGAAACAATGGAAACACTAACATAAAGTAGATTTCTGTGATGACCAGTGAAGCCAGCCTACTAATCAAGTAGGCTTGCAGAAGTTATATCCCACTTCTACCAGAACACTTGAAAGGCAGTATTTTGCTTAGGTAGCTAAAAATTCTTAGCAGGAAAATAAAATAAAGGCAAAATATTTTTCTACAATATTGTACAGGGCAACATACATGGTCTTTCCAACCTGTTGTTGTAAGACTTTGGAACTCTTGCTAATAAAATCAGGCTATTCTGTCTGATTTTTGTTGCATTTCCTTGATTTTCAACTTTCCTAAATTTTTCTTTAACCGCTTGTTATGTTTAAGGCTGGATTTTTCTGGAAAATATTCTCCTTTTTATTTCATAAGGAAACTCCTCCTGGCAGGCTTCACAAAACTTAGGACAAAAATTTAATAAGGTTTGTAGTTCTAATTATTTAGTTACATGGCTTCTTGTCTGATTTCCTCTTATTTACCTAAGCAGTTATTGAAGATTTAAAAAATTAAAATCATGCTATTCTCAAAGCAGTTCATTAAAAAAAATATCCCCCACATGAAAATGTACTTGTGTTTTGGGGCACTTTAGCCTCCAATGAATAAACCACCACCTGTCGATATCTTGACAGGAAGACAAGTGTGTAAACATTCCATATTTGTGTTGTCCTTCTTTCTTTCTTTTTAATATATTTTTATTACTTACATATAGGTATATCGAACACAGTGTGACCATCCTGGCATTTCTTCCACCAGACACACCAAAGTGAAAGACAGATAACATATATACTATTTATACATTGCTAGTCTTGTACAAATATTTTTGACCAACATATTCATTCTAATACATATATAATATCGCATTTCTGATCTACTTAGCCTAGTTATTTCATGTTCCGACTCCTACCTCTTAATTCCAGCCATTAGTAATATCTGTTCCATGTGTCATAATATTCTGTCTCCCCTTTGTTTTTTAATTCTAACATTAATCTGTCCAATTCTGCACAAACTAATATCTTCTTTATTATCTCCTTTTCTGAAGGAGTATTTTCACTTTTCCATTGCTTGGCGTGTACAATTCTCGTTGCCATCAGAATGTGTAATATGGGGTATATTGACCTTTTATTATAACCATCTATTATAATTCCTAATAGAAATAGTTCTGTTTTAAATTCTATACATTATCCAGCCATTTTTTCTAACCACATCTGGATTTGTTGCCAAAATTTCCTTGCTGTATTACAATGCCATCACATGTGGCAGTATGTACCTGGTGATTTTTTACATTTCCAACATTTCAGGAATATGCTACTAAACATTTTAGCCAATCTTGTTGGAGGAAGATGCCACCTGTAAAAACTTTTATAAAAATTATCTTTTTATGATGTGTCCAATGTCAATTTCCTGTTTGATTCCCAAAGTTTTTGCCAACTATCCAACTCAGTGTTATATCCAAAGTTTTTAGCCCATACCACCATTGTCTCCTTAGCTGGTTCTTCCTCCATTTTGTAGTCTAATAAATAACATGATTGCAGGTATGATCACCACACCAATTCTACCCCTTTTTCTTTTAATTCTAATCTACTTTTCAGTTTGCCTTTTTTGTTTAATATATCTTTATATAAGACAATTTTTTCCCGTGTTTATAAGGTTTGGGTGTACCAGTGCTTCTAAGGTGGAGAGTCAGACTGCTATTTTCATATAATTTTGTTGTTTGATTTTATTTCACACTGCCAATGGTGCATTTCTTACGTAATACCTTTACAATTATTGATGTGCCATGCTTGTCCCATACCAAAGAAATTCAAACCACCCTAGTTGGATATCATGGCCCTCTAGTACTAATAATCTCCTATTCCTTAAGGTTATCTACTCTTTTACCCATGTAAGTAGTGTTGCTGTTCTTTCTAAATTGCATTTCCACTCTTGATGATTTGAGCAGACTTGGTGAAGTCACATTGAAATTTGGGTTTAGGAAAGAATTTTGTACAGAAGTAAGAAACTTTGGGAAGCTTATGGGAGAAAAAGATTATAAGCGTGCTGAAAAATGGAGTTGAAAGCTCCCTTTATCCTCTCTTCTCAAAGCAATCTTTGCAGATTATTTGAAACAATGTCAGCATTGTGAATCCAGTGATTTCCAGTTTTTAAGCAGTGTGCAATTAATCCATAGAACTCACTTCCACTAGATGTAGTGGTGGCCATTACCTAAAATATTTTAAAAGGGAGCAGGTAAGTTCCAAAATGGCAGAATATTGGATTGCTGTTAGCCATGATAGCAATAACACCACTGAATGCCAGTTGCATTCTGTTTGTGTGATCTTATAAAAATTAGGGCCCACTGCATAAAAGAAAAAGAAAGCTGGGGCAGTTGCATAATTTGACTGATCCAGTGGGGCTCTTGCAGTTTTTATAGGTATCTCTGATGTAAACATTATTCACATTTTTGCATCTATCGGTCCACTCTAAACTCACTCCAAAAAATTCAGACTAGGATAACATATAGGAGCATTGAAATCTTAATTACAATGGATGTAACCCAGTGGTGGGATTCAAATTTTTTTACTACCAGTTCTGTGAGCATGGCTTGGTGGGCATGGCAGGGGAAGGATACTGTAAAATCTCCATTCCCACCCCACTTCTCGGGGAAGGTTACTGCAAAATCCCATTCCCTCCCCACTCCACTAACCTGGTTTACAGCTCCATTCTCCTGTGCAGCCAATCAACTGGGACTTGGGAGGCAGAGAATAGATGGGGGCAGGACCAGTCAGAGGCGGTATTTGCCGGTTCTCCTAACTACTCAAAATTTCTCCAGAACTGGTTAGGACCTGCTGAATACCATCTCTGATGTAACCTATATACTAAGAATGTCTGGCCCCACCCTGGATTTTTATCTCTCTTGGTTATGAAACTCTCAGCAAGAAACTGTACATTTCTATGCAAAACATACTGTATGTTGCTTTTCTTAGCTGGAACACCTAACAGTTGGAAATAAATACAAAGCTTATAATGGCTTTGAAATTGCAGGGACTACTGAAAACTCCCCTTATCTTTTTGGACTCCACACAGTAATAATTTTATGTGTGATAATTAATAACACAGTGGTTGAACTGTTGATTTGTGAAATGACATGCTTTCAATAAATCAGTTACTTTATTTCAGTTTCAGAAGAAGAATGAAAGTTTGACATGTGAAACCAGAGAGAAATGAAAAGCAAAGCACAAAGAAAGGTTACATATCAAAATAATTTCTACTTATTCTTTGAAGGGTTCTGAATAGCAAATATTTAGTAGTCAAATCTTTGAAATATTTAAAACAGGAAATAATTGTGCTAAAAGAATACAGCCAATTTCATTACAGGCATACATACGTATCTTCCTATTATGTTATAACATTCCTTTTTGAAGTAAATAGTTTTATGCAAAGTGCAGAAAAGGCATAAACATAAAAAGTGTTTTAATAAATACATTTTAAATATAAATTTTAAAATAAATATTAAAAAAATAAATATATACTAAAGACATGGTAAGAAAAAAAGAGAAATTTATCTAAATCTACTGGTAATATAAGCCAACACCAGCTAGTACACCTTTTTATGTCTTTCTATCCTTGCAAATCATTGTTCTATCTTGCCCATGTACTGCTTTATGCGTTGCCTTTGGTTGCAATATATTCAATTTTCCTAATCAGAAATGCCTCGGGAAAAATCTCAGAATACCTTTTGTTTGGGTCAAATATTAATATAATAGAGAATCAGTAATAAAAATAGTAAGTCAAATAGTTTCTGTAATTGGCTTATTAATAGGAAACTGTTGCAGCAAATATTATTGTAACAGCACAGTTAAGAATGGAAGAAACTTAAAAGTCACAATCCAATGAAACACAAATACATTCAAGTACCACTGATGTCAGTGGAACCCAAATCTTTCATTATTTGCTTTAGCTATAATAATATCAAAGGGTTTTAAAACAGACTAGATATGACTTGACGCTAGATATGGCAGTCTTTATCTTCTAGAAAGATAGTCATGCTTGACAAGATTTTATTGGGTGTTGCTTTGTCTATTCTAATCCAGGGGTGGGATTCTACCAGTTCACACCTATTCGCTAGAACTGGTTGTTAACATTCTAAGCAGTTTGGAGAACCGGTTGTTAGAAGAAATTATAGGCCTAATCCTGTAAGGAAGGCAGGAAGGAAACATTCTGTTATTGCTTACAGAAATTGCCCTCTGTTATCCCTTATTACATACTTGGCAGGACTAGACTTCCTATCTCAGGAACATCTCCTGAGTTTTTTTCCCCTCCTTTGCTGATACTATGCTTGTGTGGAGTGACCATTCAAAGTTACAATGGCACTGAAAAAAGTGACTTATGACCATTTTTCACATTTATGACTGTTGCAGCATCTCCACAGTCATGAGAGGTCAGGCGAGGAGATGCGTGTCTCAATGTGAGTGATATTGAGTTGGCCATGCCCAGCCAATAACATGACCACCAAGCCACTTCCACCCAGTCACATGACCACCAAGCCATGCCTACCAACTAAGCCACGCCCACAGAACCAGTTGTTAAAAAATTTGAATTCCACCCCTGTTCTAATCCTACTATTTCCTTGGTTAGTTGTGTTATAGAGTACGTCCTCACAGCCATGCTACAGGTAGTCCTCGATTTATGACCAAAATTGAGCCCAAAATTTTTGTTGCTAAGCAAGAAAATTGTTTAATGAGTTTTGCCCCAATATAGCACCTTCCTTGCTGTAGTTTTAAGTTAGTAACATAATTGTTAAGTGAATCTGGCTTCCCCATTGACTTCACTTGTCAGAAGGTCGCAAAAGGTGATCACATGACCCCAGAACGCTAGAACTATCATAAATACATGCCAGTTGACAATTATCTGAACGTTGACCACATAACCATGGGGAGCCTGCAACTGTTGTAATTATGAAAAATGGTTATAAGTCACTATTGTAATTTTGAATGGTTGCTAAACAAATGGTTATATGTTGAGGACTACCTGTGTTTTCCTCCAGTCACTGAAGTAGCAGCGCACTATACTTTGCACTGACCTTGTTGCAAGACCCTTTTCATCTCAATCAAAGTGGCATTATCCTTACAGTGTCCAACTGCAATGTGGAACAAAAAATTTTTTTAAAGAGATTCATGGATTCCCATGGTTTTGGTCTGCCCTTCCACTAAACATCAGGTCGGGATGGGGAGGTGGGGCTTTTTATTTGCCAGGTTTCTGATCCCGCAGAGTAGTTCTGTACAACGAGAGGCTTGGCTTAGTGGGGAAAGAATCAACATACCAACACCATCACTTGCCAACCTTCTTTGTCCTGGGTCAGCAGGCTGCCCCAATAAACAATTCTCAAAGGTCAGGGGAAGTGCACCTAGAGGAGCTTAAAATGGTCAAATGGGCTGGGAATGAGAAGCCAGCATTGTGAGGACATGTCCTTTAAAAACAGCAGAACAACCCGGCCTTATTCTTTGAGCCTAATGTTGTTTATATTTTTAATTTTAGCATTATCAGTTGATAAAAAAGATCCTTTAGAGGTTTGGCAAGTTCATGGAAGCATTGAGTGATTATCAAGCATGGACCAAGGATGAAGCTGAATAATTAACACTACTCAAGCACTTTTCACATTCCTTTTCTAAAGACTAGTATTTTTCCTAATGGGTACAAATGTTAAAGAGCCACCATTGCATATGGCTTTTTTAAAATTTTTAAAGCGGTATTTTAAATAATATATTCTTTTACCAAAACAAAACAAACAGATGGTTGTTGTAATTATTCCATTTTGTATATTTTATATGTGATTATTTTTAATGCTTTGGGTGATTTTCTGGAAACGTTGGGGTGGGGGTGATGAATTTGTGTGAAGAGTCATTTCAGAAGAGAATATGAATGGGAACCAGATTCTGCCCCACTTTCTGCCTTCTGTCACTTTTCTCACACATTTGACAAAACATCAATTTCAGGCTAGCTAAAAAAAGTTTTCTGCTTTACTGGTCAGCAGCTGTTTGCAATCAAACAGCTTGAGAGAATTGAAACCTTGGGCTACCGCTCATTGTTGTTCCGCATTCCATTTTCACAAATGCTGCTTCATTACACTCATTTTTATAACTTGAACTGTTCCCTCTAAAAACAGAGATTACTTCTGAGGAAATTAAGTCTGAAGTCTGCTATTTTTCCAGAAAGGCATGTGGCCTCCAGAAAGATGCCAAAACTTTTTGCCAAATGATCATTTTTAATGTGACTCCCAAAATATAAAATTATTAATTCTGTGCTGTAACCACAGAATTTATTTTAAATTGCATGATATCCTTTGATAAGGAATATTGCAGCTTACTTGTTAAAACCTTCACAGTTGGGAAAATCTCAAGAGGGGATAGAGTGGACCTTCAAAAACAAACCCATTCAAAACAAGATGTCCAAAGCTGATAAACTTGGCAGAAAGGAAAGTTCATGTCTTCAGATGTCTGCCGACATTGGCCAAGAGATTGATAACTATTTTATAAAGGAGAGAATGATTATGGTCCAGTTTGAAGTGGAACCTCGGCTCAGCTAATACATCTCTTCAAACCATGTGTGCTGCATTGGGCCAAAGGATACTATTAACCCAGTGCATTGTGCACACATAACACATACAAAGTTAGAATAGGCAAAATAAGCTGTTTACAAAAGATGTAAGTCTGGTTCAAATATCATGTTAAGCTATGATATGGTTTAATTTTGACTTAGTGTAATGTGTGGTCTTTTTATCATTTATTATCCACAGCTAATGGCTTTTGATATGCCCAGGAAATTTGGCTTAACACAATGTGTGAAAAAACTTTGAGAAAATATGTTATCTGACTGGGATAAAATAAGGTAGAAAAAGAACTCAAAGGGTTTCTGTATGGTGCATTGAGTTTTGACAGACGAGTCAAGATTAACCAATAAATGAAAAAACTTTTTTGGTGGGGGGGAAATCTGATGGGCAGCATAGAAACAAATGAAATTTTGGCCATGCTCCTTGTAATGTACCCAGTTTATCCCAAAGTTTTGCTTAATTATATAATAGGCTGCCCTTATTTAGGAGTGGCAATGGACTGTTTTAATTGTGCAGGATTCAATCTGGGTCAGTCATCAGGACCAGAGATTTTGTCTTTGTTTTAATTGTTGAAGTACTGCATATTGATTTACTCACATATACTGCCCACAGTCAGCTAGATTGGGGCAGCTGATACCTGTTCTTAAATACAGATGAGCACCAGAAATATGTACAAAACAGGAAAGGAAGGAGAAATACCTCTATGATGTTTGTTTCAGTTCTTCAAAACAAATGCTTAGAAAATATTTTGAAATGGAACACAACGATCCAAGAGAAACAAATATCTACTATCTACCTTCTTCTTCACCTACCATCAAGGAGTTGCTAAAATGAGAATGCATGGAATTTCTGTTCTGAACTTTCATAAGTTGTTCTACTTGTAAATACAGAGCCGCACATCAGGAAGCTGCTGCATTCCAAGGACATGAATGTTTCTTCTTAAAGATCCAAGCCATATGCCTGCTAGTTGAAATGCTGCTTGCTGAGTCACGGTTCTTTTCACAAAAAAGGAAATATGTAGGTGGGAGCTCAGACTTTTCTTGCACACAAAACAGGATATAAATGCAGGTTTCCTTTGCCAGAAAATAAAGCTGGTTCGCTTAACAGAATAATAATCTTCCTATGTTCATTATGGTAAGATGCTTTGGAGGAGCATACCTTGTATTCAAGTTTGGATTTTAGTGTATTTCTCCATGTGCCACTTTCAAATAATTCTCCATGTGTTTGAATAAATGATTTGTTGTTTTTAGTCCATTTCTGGTGATCAAGAATATTGTTTAATCCACCCACAATGTAGACTTTGCACAATTATGTAGTCCTTCAATCAGTAATTGGCCCACTTCTGAAGAAGAAGGTTGCAAATGTTCTTATTTATGAGTTGTTGTTTGGAGGCACTTATGCAACAAATGAATTAAATGTATTCTTCTAAACAGCTGTAATTTCTTCTTAAAAATGAAACCAAAATGCACAGCTATTACGTTCTGTTATTGAATTTCTGATATTTATTCCAAGTCTCTGAGCTGCTTCCTTCTCCAAATTAAAGCTGATTCCATGAGGGGAAAATGGTTTGAGGCAATCAATAGGCCTTTAGAGGAAAACTGTAAAGAGCTTGCACCTGCATCTTCTATTCATTGCCATTATATAATGTATCAGTACATTAACTTGTTATTACACTCTTAGTGGCTAAGGCTACCAGTCTCTTTGAGAGCAAAATTCAAATTGTTTATGACCTTCAGCAGCTCTTGTAGGTTAACAGTGTATTTAAAAGCCTGCTTTTTTCCTGTCATAATTTAAATTTTTATTAAAATACATGGCCACAGACAAAAAGTTGGAAAATATAACATAAATATAAATAGAATATAAATCTGTGAATTTGTGCCTATGACTAAGTTACCTAGATTACTGACTTTCACTGTTATGACCTAAAATTTGGCTACGGTTTTGGATGCTTTCAGATCCTGGTCATTTAGAAAGTACCACACAATTGCCAATCCAGATCAATCTTGTCCAGGGAGACTAAATCATCAGGACATCAGGAGACATCAGCAGACTAAATCAGTATAATATTAAATGTTGCATCATATATGCCAGAAGATACTAATATTACAAATTCTCACTAAACTACATGGCATTATCTACCTAAAAATTACATGTACATTGATGTGTCCAACACTTCTCTAAGATCATCATAAGCATTTCTTATAAATTTTTACACAGATATCGAACAACCAAGGTGGTCTCATACATCCTAGTCTAATTCCTGCTCTATGTCAAACTATTTGTTCTCATGCATACTTTATATTGTATTCTTGCCATGTTCAGTAATCAACTTACAGCTGTGCAGTGTTCTGTAATTCAAACCTATTCAGTTTATCATATTCTTTTTCAAAACCACAAAACGTGCAATAAATTTTATTTCTCAGTTACTTGCTAAAGATCAAAAATATGATCTATCTATCTATCTATCTATCTATCTATCTATCTATCTATATGGATCTTTGGTTGTTTGGGTTTTCTCCCACGTAAGATTCGAAGTATCTAGGCAACGTTTCGATGAAGTCTCATTCATCATCTTCAGGCTTCTGTCTTCGGCTCTGGGCTTCTCAGAGTGATGTGAGATTGCAGCTGCTTCTTCCTTTTAACTGCTAGTGGGGGTGTGACTTGATTGGGTGGGGGTTTGGTTGTGTTCTGATTGGGTGGGGGTGTGTTCTCATTGGTAGGGGGTTTGGCTGTGTTCTGATTGGTTGGGGGGTTGGTCGTGTTCTGATTGGCTGAAGGCGTGTTCTGTTCAGGTGGGGGCTTGGTTGTGCTCAGGTTAGTCTTAGTTGCCGGGGGATTAGAGTTGGTGAGCTGTGATCTTGCTGTTTGGCTTCGAGTTCGTGGTCGTGCTGCATCTTCATAGTGGGTGTCGGTTTGCTTCATGTATGGCTCGGAGGGGTTTGAAGTGGGTAGTGATGCAGCTGCAGTGCGGCTTCTGGTCCGTGGTCGTGTCTCATCTTCTGAGTGGGTGTGAGTCTGTTTTCTACATGGAAGTGTGGTGGTGGAGTATACGAAATTCCCTGTACTGCCTGCCCCACCACATACATTGGACAAACTAACAGAAGAATAAGTGCACGCATTGAAGAACATAAGAACTCAATCAAAAAAGAAGAAACGAAAAAGAAGAAAAGAAGAAATGCATTGAAGAACATAAGAACTCAATCAAAAAAGAAGAAACGACCTCTTCCCTGGTCCAACACCTCAAAACCACAGGACATGAGATTGACTTTAAAAATACCAGAACCATCGCCAAAACCGAACACTTCAACAGCAGAATAATCAGAGAAGCCATAGAGATAGAAAAACGCCCACACAGCATGACACCTCCCGCCTTCCAGCCATTTGGAAACCCGCCCTCATGAACAGACGAGTACCTAACATGAAGAATGACACCAGACCCACACCCATGAGAGCCACACAAGATGCCACCACCACACTTCCATGTAGAAAACAGACTCACACCCACTCAGAAGATGAGACACGACCACGGACCAGAAGCCGCACTGCAGCTGCATCACTACTCACTTCAAACCCCTCCGAGCCATACATGAAGCAAACCGACACCCACTATGAAGATGCAGCACGACCACGAACTCGAAGCCAAACAGCAAGATCACAGCTCACCAACTCTAATCCCCCAGCAACTAAGACTAACCTGAGCACAACCAAGCCCCCACCTGAACAGAACACGCCTCCAGCCAATCAGAACACGACCAACCCCCCAACCAATCAGAACACAGCCAAAACCCCTACCAATGAGAACACACCCCCACCCAATCAGAACACAACCAAACCCCCACCCAATCAAGTCACACCCCCACTAGCAGTTAAAAGGAAGAAGCAGCTGCAATCTCACATCACTCTGAGAAGCCCAGAGCCGAAGACAGAAGCCTGAAGATGATGAATGAGACTTCATCGAAACGTTGCCTAGATACTTCGAATCTTACGTGGGAGAAAACCCGAACAACCAAAGATACACACACACACACACACACACACACACACACACACACACACACACACATATA